GGGGGCCAAGTACCCCCATCTTAGCCTCGATCCCCAGAGGGCTGTGATTTGATGCACACCCATTTGTCAAGTCCCAGTGGCTGGTGGCCCTCATCAACTTTCCTCCGTGTTTGAAGTTTCAACCTGCCCGGCTCAAAGAGGCTTATTGCTTCAAGGGCCGGTAGCTAAGCTACCTCCAACCGCCCTCACTTTGACAAAAGCCAAGAGTCGAGTCATTGAAGACTTGCGCTGGTGAATGTCAACATGCGTCAACTCTAGATCGCTCTTCATGTTTGTCATCTAACTAACTTCAGAGCATTTCAGGGCACAGCCGGGCACAGCCGATGCTCAATCAAGTGTCTGAACATTTCAAGCAGGCCTCTGCCGATCTAACTCCTCTTGGAAGGCACTGGCACGTCGAGCAGCTTCTGCTAACAGTGCCTCTCACAAGGACATTTGCTAGGGTGTGCTGTGGGCATCGAATGACCCAGGCCTGTCCCGGAACCAAAGAGTCCCATGATCAAATCTGGTTATATAAACTGATCTCATCTGATCTCCGTGTCATTTCAACAGTGTCCAAGCAACCTGCCGGTGGCTGCACCTCGTGATCACCTGATCCCGCCAACTTGGCACGAGAGAGGAGTATGCCAAGCGCATCCACTGGCGGTGCCTGCCAAGGAAGAGAAATAAGGACAAAGAATCAGGATCTCTGATCACTTATGAAAAGTGTAGATGTGGACAAAACAATAGAATAGAACACGGGCTTGCTAGTCACATAATTATGGTCACTAGCAGCATTCAACTCCCGGTGGCCCGCTGGCCCGTACCCGGAGTCAAACTTCAACGATCGTGATGTCTCCAGGATTCTCCAGGCCTCAGCCTCGAGGGACGTGGCCCGGTTCACGGCCGCCTCCATGCTCTTGGCCAAACGGAGCCTCCGAGCAGTTTAGAGGTTCGGTCGGAAGCAACAGCCAAACGGCGCACCCCCAGACTCCCCAGACTCCCCAGATACAAGCACCAATTTTTTGAACTCTTCAATGAGGGATTCTGTCCAACATTGCTATGGCTACGAGATATATCAAACTCCGGCCTCTCTTGCTGGCGACTGTGCCACACCTCAACTTCCTGTCGCAAAGCCAAAGGCAAATTGAGGATGGCCTTGCCAGTGAGAATCCTGCCAGCCTGCAAAAGCAAGGACCATGAGCAGGTCAGTTTGCGGGTAAACATCGTATGTGTTTGCAGCTCTTGAGTTCACCACTCCAAGCAGTCCAAGCATGACATCTAAGACTCCGTGGACTGTGAAGTAGCAGAGTGCTAATGGTGTTTTTTGAGGGAAGTCTGTGGTTGAACTGGAAGCTGCTGAATAACAAGTGTTCAACTCAACAATGATCTTGTGCCTCTTGGATGGACGCCTCTCTTTCCTGGTATCCAACTGCAACATCAAAAACGTGCGCAGCAATGGCAGAGTAAAAAAGAATCCCCAAGGCGGCCATAATAGACCTTAGGGTGCATATAGTCCTCCAATGCGATGTCATCAGATGTTGTTTTGGAGATGGCATCAGTGAGCCTCAGGAATAAAAACACATCACTGATCATAAGCAACTTGAAACTTGAAACTGATTTTGGCCAAAACACCTGGCCAAGACTGCGGCCCTTGAAGCTGGGGTAGTGCCCACGGGGGTACCAACGGCAACATCCTTAGGAACTGTCGCGATCAAGCGAAACCAAACTGAGATGGAATGTTAAACAGGTGACTTGGCAAAGCGAATTGTTAATTCTCTCAAAGACCTTTGGTCCATGCATGTATGACAACGGCAATGGAACTTCTAGTTGTTCAACAATATTCATCAGCCCTTGAGGTGGCTGAGAGCCTGGCCGGAGCCCGGCCTTTTTTGCCTGAGGCAGCACTGACTGTCTGGCAGCAACGCCCCCACTTCCGTGAGTCATATGTACAGTAGACCCTTGGTTTTTGTGCCGACAGGATCCTGTAGGGGGTGTTCCCCCCCGGATTCGCTGCAATCACAACTCACAAAATCAACAGGCTGCGGACATGGTGCTGCAAATGCCAATGACCGGCGACCCTTCACACAAGTCGCTCGCGTGTGGGGAAGATGCTGCTCGCCGGGCCACTGCCTGTCAACAGGGTTGGCTCGACACCAAACGCGGATGAAAGCAACTAGAGGGCTCTCCCGCCTCCATAGGCAGCAGTAGGTTAGGAAACCCAGGCTCCGGAGCCACTCGTGAATTTGCCCCATTTCCTTAGCACCATCTTCTCGGTGGCCGGTCGGCTGGGAGATGTGAACAAGAAGCCAGGCATGGACCGCGGCCGTGTCTTCACTCAGAAGCAGGCTACAAATCGAAGTGCACGAAAAGTCGTTCGATCACTTGGCATATGTACTGCGCAAGTGGCTGGAATGCAAAGATTGCCGGCACGGCGCGTGCAGAAGCAGGACAGGGGCACCAAGAGCTCTTACTACAGTATATTGATGTTTGCGAACGGATGGAAAGGTGTGCCCTGGCCCCGTTCTAGCTCTTAGGTCAACATGAAGCTCGCGCGCTAAAGCTCCTTTTTACCTGGTTGGGCACTTGAGCCAAAAGTATATGGCATGTACCTGTATAGCGACTATACTGGGACCCCATCCCTATTGACACCCCCCACATCCGTACTTCGACGGGGAAGGGAGATGAGTGGATGTAAAAACCGGAGAACGAATCACGTTCTCAAAAGTGTATTGGAGGTCAACCAGTATGTCCTATTGAATTGCATTAGCGAAAGATCTTGCATTCGCTTGAAAGTTGGATCAAACAGGCAATGGAGCTACAAGCGGAAAACGTGCACCTACCTATGGTATCATGCGATTACCAACGGTGTGAAACACAATCCTATCTCACTCCCATGATGCCAAAACGGTCATCATGAATTACCCAAGATCCCTCAGTACATGAAGTACCGGAAGTGGCATGTCGGCACGACCCCAATGCTCATCCATTCGTGAGTTGTCGCATGTAGTCAGCGCCGACAAAGCCAATGTAGTCCTTGATGAGCTCAACGTTCCTTGGGTTTCCCGCTCGGATCTGCTCCTCGAAGGACTTCAATTTCTGTGCTTGAATAGCGGATACCTCTATGCCATAGTAGCGGCATGCAACGAGGATCTCCTTCGTGACATTCTTCCTCTCCGATTTGATGGCGGGACTAATGTCGATGAATTTGTATGGAGCGGCACTTTCGTCATCTGGTTTCTGGTAGTAACTATACCGGCTCGCTCCGAAGGTCTTCCTGATCAAGCGTCTGATGAAATTTGAGATGAATGCCAGTTTCTCGATGATCTCATCCTGGGTCTCAGACTTTCGAGCCTTTGGATCACTCATGTTACGCCGAGTGCTGCCGACCTCTTTGAGGTACTTGTGGCTAAGCCCGCAGCGGATTGCAGTGATCATCATCGGGTGAACAACGTGGGCGTGGAATTCATAGATCTGCCACGCTTCTGCTGCATACACGTCGTCGGTCCATCTGCTCATGCCTACGACCTCGGCTCTCTGGAGACGTCTTGGAAACCCAGTATCCGGATCATTCGGTACTATCGGCCATTTATTGTGCGGAGTGTCATGCCGCTGTCCATCGTCGAACATTCGCAGTACATCTTCACGACTCTCAAAGCAGTTGATGTCGAACGTTGCGTTGGCCAAGCTCTTGATCAACTTCATCAACCTCAGATCAAATTGCTGTGTGACGGCAAAGTTGTGGTCGATGGGGATCGCAGCTTCTTGCGGCAATTCGTCAATTGCGAAGGGGAAAGGCTGCGGAAGTTCATTCCCGTATCCATCTTGAGGGACCTCCCGATATTCGGGTTCGCCTTCAGCTTCGTCCGGTCGTTCCTTCAAAATGATAGGAACTTCCTCCTCTTCCTCTCCTTCGGATTCCTCGATCTCAATGACCTCTTCGGCTGTCTTGCGTGCGTTCTTGATGACTTCATCGATGTCTGCACCTGCAGCAGAAGTTGTTTCACCGGAAGAACTGGCTGGGACATCTTTCGGAGGTGACCGTTGATTGCGGTCCCTTGTCTCCTTGGGTACCACATGCGTGAGCTTCCCATTCGCGATCAAAACCGCTACGCAGTGCGGACATATCGTCAATCGCACATCGACTTCGCCAAGACAGTTAGGACACGGTCTTGAGTCATAGTCTTTCATTGCTCGGCGGTACACGATCTCCTCAAAGATTTCCTGCCACTCGGTGCTATCATATTCTGGGTAGACACCACTCTCCTCGATCATACCCAATTGCTTTGAGATTTTGGCGTGTCCTCGGAGTAGGTATCGTCCTGAACCTCAACCGCTAAACTCTCAAGCTTTTGGAAGCGTGGAATCATGATCGGGTTTCCGTATTTGGACTCCAGAACAAGGTAGCTTCCAGGGTCGGGTTCCCCATTGAGTAACCGGATCCATTCGATCTCCTCAGGCTGTCCGGGTTCCGCATTGTCGCATTGCAACCATGCCCCTTTAACCTCATCGAAGGGAACGACGTTCTCAACCAATAGAGAGCCAGTCGCTGAGATGAGAAGTCCGTACTCCTGCAGCTTCCACACCGGAATGTAGAGAACCACCGGTCGATCACTCAATGCGACCTTACGACCCAGCCAAGGTTTTCCCTTGTAGCCCTGCTCCCAGGCCCATGGCGGAAAACATGTGAAGTGGATAGAATCCCTTCCCGATGAACCGAGACCTCCTGGCACTAGCCCTCGTCGCATGATTGAAGTCAGCGCTCCGAGATTGGTAGCGTGAAATGCAGTCACCATAGATAGGGCCATGTCGTTGGTCATCCTCGACCCAATGTGGTCGATGTTAATGGTAACGTCATAACCTCCGCCGTCCGTTGAGTGTGCCGAGGTTGCTCTTACGGCCACGGGAAAGCACCATCCATCGCTATGGTGGAGTCTTCCTTTAGAGATTCCCATGTCCTTGAGTTCGTTAATCCATTCCTTCTCCATCGGGTCATCAGGCTCATTGAGTTCATCAGGATGAACGCGGACCGCCAACATTTGGAATCTGACCCTCTTGGTTATGCGGAAACACTCATAGTTCTGGTCGAAGTACTTCTCCAAACGCGCCTTCTTGGTCACGATATCTATGTTGCCATAGTGGTAACCGTCTTCCCAAACTGCATTATCACCTAACAGGTCTTCCCATGACACCCATGCGCCTTCATCGCATTTGATTGGTGCGAGTCTCCCTCCTGTCCTGAACTGGCGTCCAATTCGATGTCTCAACTTCGCTCCCAATCGACGACTCAGGGCCTGGCTCGCTTGGCTGTATTCAGGTACTCGACAGTCTGGAGTCGGATATTTGTGGTTGCCGTAGTCGGAGTTCTTTGCAGCGAAAGTGACTCCGTTGATCGGTACTAGTTCAACTTTCCCGACCATCGTCATGGGGTCGATCGGCTTGTATCCCTTCTCCCTCCGTGTTGGTAGGGGATAGAAGTGATGACATGCCTTTGGTGTGAGGGAACTGGAGTGCACAAATGCCTTCTCTACAAATTCGTACACCATTTTCATATCCCTAGGGCCCGCTTCCGCAAGCTTCCGCCCATTGTAGGAATGTGGCCCTCCTTCGACTCCATCAGCACTTTCGATCAAGGTGAATCCGTCATGATCGAACATTGTCACGACTCTTGCTTTTAACATTTCTTTTCGCCTGAACTCGCTGTCGACCTTCCTATCTGGAGTGGGCGATGCTCTCTGCTTCTTCTTCTTAGGCTCCTCGGTTGGATGTCCAGATGGTACATCGTCGGGTGCAACCTCTCCCTTCACTCTCTTCTTCCAATCACTCAACACTGAGGTGACTGTAGGTGAAGATGAAGGGGTCTTCTCGCAATTGAGAGTTGTGTGTCCCGACTCCATGCAGTGGATGCAGAATTCTGCTTGCCCGATCTTCTTCTCAAATTCGTCGATGGCTTGCAGTATTGATGTCTTCGGGTCGGACATGTCAACATCTTGCTCCTCCTTCTCCTGTCCACATTCAGTCTCCATATCGACACCTTCGGCCTCGGGCTGGTCAGTGGCTTCTGTTCCCTGTTCTGGTTCTTTCCCAATTTCGAAGAAGTGGTCGATGTCGAATTCAGGAGGCGGCATGGTCCTCATGCGAACGAGAATCAGTGCCACGTTTGCCGCCTCATCAGAGTGCGGGTCCAAGGTTCTGATCGTCGATCGCTTTCGGTTCTCATACGTTGTCCTGTCGTACAGCGATGCAGTGACGCGTTTGATGGATTCTTCTAATCCCGTCCTCAAAGCTTCGATGTCACCCCATCCCCTGAACATGTGCCTGAAGAGTTGAGCAATTTCAAACATGCCCAGCAGCGCTTCCACCATGTCACCTACCCGTTCCTCCGTGGGATCATCTCCGAATATAGTGCGGAATACATCGGGCTCCAGTATGGTCTTGAGGTATTTGGTGTAGCATACGTTGCCAAGGTCATAGGATCCCTGGTAGTACTTGGCGCTGCCGACTATCTGCTTTTCCACATGGATGCTGGGTCCTCTCCTCGTTTTGAAGAAGTTCTCCGTCATTGTTGATGACAACCTGATCCCCCCGAAGAACGAAATCTCCTTCTGGAAACCTGGATTCTCATTAAAGATGATCATCGCCTCGTGTAAGAACTTGATCAAGTCATCGTGCGGGTTCATCCCGGAGATCACGACGGTGGGAGAAGATACCGTTTGCCCCATGCCGAAGTTGTGAAGCAATCGTGCACATGCATGGAATCGCTTCTGGACGTAGTCTTCTGCGGACATCCCACGGCATCTATTTGCTGCTCCGTTGATGCATTCTGCATAGCAATCGTCTTTCAAATCGGAGTCTATGGGATGGCAGACCAGACAGTAATCGCAGCAAATTTCCTCACCCTCCTTGAAGTCATCAATGACGTACCATCTTTGAGTCCTTGAGTATATTGGTTCTGGCTGAAGGACTCCCCAGTACTCATCCATCCATGGCATTTTGTTCTCTCTCCTTACCTTCTCCCTCTTCCTCCTCTCAGACTCATTCTCACCTGAAGGTTCCGCAGTGGACTGATATGCATGGCTTCCTCTTACGGAATCTCCGAACAAGTACTGATACAACCTCTCTTTGTCCTGCAACACGTGTTCCAAGTTGGGATCATGGAGGCTATTCGCTTCGGTCAAGGGATCCGGTGCCATAAAGCAAGAAGCGAGCATCTTTTCTCTGAACAAGTACTTTTCCATGACAGCGTGGACCAAAGAGG